CAGAGCAGGTCTGGCAGCTGGCGATTCGGAGGTGCCTCCTTCTATCGTTCTGGACCACCGTCTTCCAGAACACGTAAGTGTGCCTCTAAACGATGACCACAACACTATCTCTGAGCCAAGGGGAAGACCGCAGTCACCCGCGCGCGGCCCGGAGCCACTGGTTCACCGTCATTCTACACCGGCAGTGTGGGGGTCAGATTTCACTGTGAGCAACATTATCGGAGGTCAGAGAAGCATGGTACGGGACATTCCTGGCTCTACTAGTTCGGGTGTCAGGACGCCTGTTGAGGTACCAAGTTATAATGTCAATAACTGGAATGAGATCCGCTCTGAGGACAACACCGAGGCAGAAATTCTTCCGCAACAAAATAATAACATGCCTACGGAATCTCCAAAGGAAGCGAAAAAGACGCTTCGGGTAAAATTCGCGCTCGACAACCGTGCTTCGCCGGACTACCGAGCGTCCTCACGACAGCCACGAGTGAGAACTCCTTCGAATTCGGTAAATCGACAGCCTAACTTCGAAGGGATGGCGGTTTCGAACGAGAATTTTCCGGATCTTGAGTCCTTAGAATCCACTTTTTGCAACCAGGAAAAATGCGATGATTTTAAGTCAGTCGTTACAAAGGGTATCGCTTACAGAAGAGCACGAATAATTTGCCTTTCCGGCTCTGTGCTTGCAATATTGGTTGCCATCCTGGAGACTTGTTTCATGTTTGCCAGCCTGGCATTGCGTGTAAAATGCCCTGACGTTGCTGGTTTTCTGGGAAAAGTTTCCCTGCTTTTTCTAGTCGTGGTAATACTGGAATGGTTTCGTTGTTGCATTTGGCGTGACGTCATCCACGTTGATAATAAATCTCATCTATCAACACAGGAAGAAGCAACTCTAATGCACACAAATACACTCAGCCCTCTGGATAAGGAAGAATCCAACGCACTGGGGTTGCAGCCTAGAGTAAACTCGCTGAGCGATCTCCGTGCGGACGTGGTACTCGGTGAACTGACACAGATTCGGAGTTCTGCACCCAGCACTGGCCCCTTAAGAAGGTTTTCGCTGGATGGTAAACAAGTTGCGGTCTCTTTTATCCTCTTAGTTATTTACTTTATTCTGCTGGGTCTCCTTCTTGATGGAGCCTTTTGGATTCCCTCAGAATATAATCGTTCAGTCAGTCTGGATCAGACCGATCAAAACAAAACTTTTAATGGAACGGCACCGGTGACATACTGCCCTGCCTCTGGGTTCCGTACAGGCCTCTGCTTCCTAGTGATGCACTGTCTCCTACTTGGAGTTAGGATGGCATTCTGCTGTATGAGCGGCTTCGGTGGAGCTGTTCGTTTTATTATCTCTCGATTTCACAAGCCATCTCTCCAACATCCATCCAGAGTGATTGTTGAACAACACCTTCCGAGGCTCCCGGACGAATTGGACCAAACTAACATCGGAGAGACCG